AGTCTATCCACTTCTCTAGATGGGTGATGTCCAAACATTTTCTTCAAACAAATTATAGCTGGAAGTCCAAGATATAAAATAGGAAACACCAGAACTGCTCTTATTAAAAGGGGAATAAAGGATTTGGAACTCCCAACTGACAGTTCTCTCTTCAATGACAAGTAAGACATACCACACAGCAGTTTGGAAACTACTATTCCAGATTCTCTCGATCAACCCTGTCCAATAGGACTTACTATGATGATGGAAATGTTCTCTAGCTGCACTGTCCAACTATATATGCTAGTCATATGAAGCTACTGAACACCTGAAAAGTCAGTTGCTAATGGGGCCGACGACCTGATTTTTAAGTTAATTTTAATGAATTTATTTATTTTAAAATAAATTTATTTATTTTGGCTGTGTTGGGTCTTCGTTGCTGTGCACAGGCTTTTCTCTTCGTTGCTGTGGCGAGCAGGGGCTACTCTTTGTTGTGCTGCGCAGGCTTCTCATTGCAGTGGTTTCTCTTGTTGTGGAGCACAGGCTCTGGGTGCACGGGCTTCAGTAGTTGTGGCACACAGGCTCAGTAGTTGTGGCGCACAGGTTTAGCTGCTCCACGGCCTGTGGGATCTTCCTGGATCAGGGCTTGAACCCATGTCCCCTGCACTGGCAGGCAGACTCTCAACCACTGCACCACCAGGGAAGCCCAATTTTAACGAATTTAAATTTAAACCACATATGGTTTGTGGCTACCATACTGCACAGCACTGTTCCAGACTCTACCCTGGGATTACATACAAAGTCATGTACTTGAAATGTATTTCACTGGCTATCTGCAGAACTGAGCTTTGGTATGATGGCAGTAACCTATGTGAAGGGATAATATAAGACAACCTAAGGAGAAAAATGATTTCTAGAAATTCAGCAAATAGTTTTTTGGTGCTTGCCAAGTGCTAAGCATTTTATTAAGTGCTGCTATTAAATGCAGAGAGAAAATGGAAAGTAGAGCAGGTTTAGGGGAAGAAAACCAGTTTTAGACTAGTTTATTTCTGAGAGTCGACATCGTCATATGGATGGAGCATACGCCAAGACCCAGGCTACAGGCAGAACGCTTGTGTAGCATTTACTCTGTGCTAAACACTGCTATGAGTGATTCACATATTTATTAACTCGTTTAATTTTCACAGCAACTCTTGGTAGGTACTACCATCTCCGTATTATAGATAAGGAAACTGAGGCCCAGCCATTTAGTAGTTTGTCCCAAAGTTCCATGGCTAAGAGATGATGGAGCCAAGTTTCAACCCAGGCAGAGTCTATATTCTTAACCATTATATTATTCTGCTTAAAGAACACAGAGCTAAGAAAAAGGAGCCCTGGGTTTTTGGTCCTGGCTCTGCTATGAATAATAATCATGACTATGAAAACCTTCTGAACTTTCTGTAAAATAAGAATGTTGTATTAGAATTTTTATGGTCCAATTGAGCTTTGAAACTTTAAGGTTCTGTGGAGAAAGACCATCTTTATCTAACCCCCCTTTGCCTTGCTTTCATCTTTATCTAACCCCCCTCCCCCGATTTGTTTCTTCCCACTATCTTCTCTATTACTTACTGAAGAATGTTTCTCAGAGGTGTTTTCCTCTCTGTGGTCTCTCATAACACCTCTAGTTCCGAATCACTCCCATTAGCAAGCAAGCTTCATTTATGTATTATCAGGCATTCTAGACATAGTAGCTTATATAAAATAAACTCCAGTATTAACTTTCAGTAATAACCCCAGATTCTCAATGTCACAACCTAAAAGCAATTCTTTTCATAATGAAAAAATTGCATCTTCCCCAGTGTGGTATCCTCATTCTCACCCCAAAACTTCAGAACACACTTAAAGATCATCCTTTCAGAAAAAACAATGCTCCTAGTACCTGTAGAGGTTAATATCTGCAAATGATTTGCTATTATTGATGGCAAATACACAAAGGAAGCCTTCGCCTGTCCTCATGTATTGGTCTCTCATGGCACTGTACTCCTCTTGTCCAGCTGTATCCAGTATGTCCAACAGACAGGTTTCACCATCTATAACCACCTGTTTTCGGTAAGAATCCTGGGGTGTGGAGGGGAGGGGGGCAGGGAGAGAGGGAGATTCCATTTTTATTAAAAATCACAGGGAATGCAATGCTACTGCTAAGGTTAAATAAGCTCCTAGCCAAGTCCAATTCTGTCTCTTTGGTTTGTCCCTCAAACTGCTGATATATAATCACAAACAGAAAGTACTTAATGTCACCCTAGGAAAAAAGCCCCAAATGCTATATGCCTATAGAAAGGAAATTGTGGTCACTCTGTTCCTGGAAAAGATGAAGAAAACATGGTAATTGAAAAGACAGTTCTACCGCACCTAGACTAGAGATTACGTTCACTGAAGTATGAACTGTACTTCTTCTTTGAGTGGTTTATTGTCCATTTACAATTCTAAACATACCTCCACCAATTATAACTTGGTCCAGGATGCACTATCTTTTGTGTTTATGATTAAATACACAAATACTTTTTATTTCAGACAAGGTTATAATATCAAAATATTTTTCTCATCATGACAGACTGTACCTCTGGGGAATATTCCTGACTCAAATTCCTAAAGGTTCCAAACATGGTATAGTCACATTAATTCCTCGGGAAGATAGACATGCATAGATCATATTAAAAAAAAAAATTTCAATTTGGCTCTAAGGCAAAAATTTTACTTGTATTTTAATATTTATGTTCTGGGAATTCAGTTCAAAGAAAATAACCTCATCACACTTAGTAAAGATCTGGCTCCAGAAACAGTATGCAACATAGTTTGCCAGTCCATTTGCATTGAACAGCACCTCTGTAACTCACGCCATTGCGGGACTGTAATATACTTTCAAATTAACATAGAATTCACATTGTCAAAATTTCCTTAAAGCATGAAACAGGGTCAAATGTATGAGTGTTCTGAGGAAATAAGCAAAATTAAAATGATAAAGATAGGTTTTAGTCAAACTAATTTATGATAATAGAAGTCAGAGAAGTGGTCATTTCCTGGCAGGATAGGGGGGTTTACTGACTAGAAAGGGGCATGAGAGAACTCTCCTGGGCATTGGAAATAGTCTATATTTTTATCTATGTGGCGGTTACATAAGTGTACACAAATTTAAAGCTACTGAGCTATAGATGTAAGATTTATATACCTTATGTAAATTACCTCACAACAAATAAAACTCAGAAAAATAATAAAATGTTCTAACCATTAATACTAAAGCGGTAAGCCTAAAATAAAATTTTGCCAATGACTAATGACTAATTTTGAATAATGTCTATATTAGAGTTAGCTTGCATTAAACACTCAATGGCTGGGTCGTACGAAGACCAGGAAGTGGATTAATGTAATCTCTAGAGTTAGACATTTCTAAACTGAATAAAATTACAAACTCTTTACTTAAAGGACTTTAGATGCCATTTACTGAAGCCAATCTATAACATGAACTCCCACAGAAACTTTAAATAAGTGATAATTACACAGTGCGTTAGCATCCACAAAAATTCAACATATTTGATTTTTCACAACATCCCCTGGGTGTCAGGCAAGACAGGTTTATGGTAATTTAATAGATGAGAAAAGTGATTTGCTCACTATCATATAACTAACTGCAAACAGGGACTGTATTCCTAGGCACAGTGACTCAAAATCTCATGCTCTTTCTTCCCCAACCCACAGTCTCAGCTGCTTCAAGTGGCTAAGAAACACTCAGATCTCTGAATTCTTTATCTCCATCCTGCTATCATTCAGGTATTCTATGACCTGTGTTTCTTTTTAACGGAGCTGTCATATGTGGAGAAACTAAGTGAGTTCAACACTGAGTTTGTAACCGTTTTCAAAACTGTTAAAAACTGTAAACTTTTTAGAAAATCATCAGTAGCTAATAAAAGTGAACTCTGCTCCAAAAACAGGTAAAGCTTTACTTATTGTATTACTGAACACAGTGCCCCAAATAACTTTTTATTTTCTCTCCTGATTATTCCTTTAGCTAAGGAATAGCTGAAAGGTTATGGGAAAGGGAATGGGTTAAGAGTAAACCGAGAGAGGTATGGTCAGTGGACTGCCTCTGGGCCTCACCTCTATGGTGGGATCATATTCATCTACAAAGTGGTTCTGGATCAGCTGGATTGTCAGTGCGCTTTTCCCAACACCACCTGCTCCAACCACCACCAGTTTGTACTCAGTCATTTCACACCAGCAAGAACCTGTGGGAAAGCAGCAATTAGGGTTAACTGTCGAACCACATCTACAGTACTTCAAAGCTTTCTGTAATCAACAGTAACTAAAACCAGAGTCTGAAATGTATTGGTTCCGTACACGTTCACGGCCACTTGGTTCTCAAAGTGATTCAGGAGTGCAAAAACACTTGCAGGTTACTGTGGATCTCAGAATTCTGGATTAGTCTTCTAGCTACCCCCACCCTCGTCTATTTTTCAATAGCCCTTGGGCCCCGCCCTCAGCCTAAGGTAAAGAAAACCCCCCTTCCTACTCCTTTAAATCTTCTGAGCTCTGGGGGGCGGCCTCCAGGCCGTCTCCCCTTCTCTCTACCCCGCCTGTCTCCAAAGAGCTCCCCCGTAGGGCTCAAAACGAAGGACCCCCCGCCCAGGGCCTTTGTCTCCAGCTTGTAGATTCCGCTCGGTTCCTGGCAACAAGGAGTCGTCAGCATGCTCCAAAGTCGAACGCTACACACGCCAGAGCCTTACCTCAAGCTCCACTGCCTCCGCTTCGGACAGATTTGGACCACAACCGAGAAAAATGTTGAAGACCCCGGAACCGCCATGAACAGCCCCCACCAGGGAGCGGCACTTCCGGCCCCGCCCGCTACGCAATCAGTCGGCGCCCCAGGCGCCGGAGTCCCCGCCCCGGCCACGTGGGCCTCCGACCCAGGAGTCACGCGGCAGGCCGCACCCAGACCCGCCCCTCCCATACAGGACGTTTTAATAATGAAAGCGCTAGGTGCTAGTGTCTCAAAAATCAGTAAAACTTTATTCGCTTCCATTCTTTCGCCATTAACAGAAAACTGGAGAAAGCAAAAGTGTTAACGTGTTTACAAAGATAAATGGCCTCTTTACCCAGAGAAGATCAAAACCTCAAACGACAACGGGGAAGATAAAAGCACCCTCCCCCACATCCCCTGAGCTGACCCTTGTCATCTTAGACAAAGCCTTCAGTCCACTGGCCAGGGACCCTGTACGTGGCCAATTCAAGATGAGGGCCAAGAAATCAGACCAATCCGTTCCCATGATATAAAGCCGAACAGAAGCTACACCAAGGGTCAAGTGCCTGTACTTTTTACAGGACACAGGAACCAGGCGGCTACTTATAAAAAAAACAAGATTCATTTCAGGCACAACTTTTTTATTATTTTTTGTTTGTTTTGTTTTGAAATCAGTAAAAGAAACTGGGTCCTAGAAGCTGCAGTGATCTAAGCAGCAGCAAGTTTGTGCATTCATCCTTTTGTTTTTCTTTAAATACGTTAAATTATCACACTGCTGGCACACCTCATTTGCATGAAATTCTGCACCATATATACTAATTGTGGTAAAGTTACACCCCCCATCGGCGGGGGCGGGGGGGGGGACTACCCTGTAAGATAATTTTCACTGAAATCTAACCAAACTTCATTAAGTGGACTGTGATAAGATAAATGATATGAAAAATAACATTTTAACATTTGGCCATCAACTTAAAGAACTGGTTTGCCTATACAAATTTTTGTAATTTTTAATATATTCTACCATCATATGGTCCTCAGAATTAAAGCATAATGAACAGAAAAGGAAAAAGAATGCAACTGAGTGCTAAGGCAGAACATCTTGCCAGAAGTAATGAAGGTAGAGTATATATACTAAGTATCAAGTGCAGAATTTCATAGGGCCAACAAGGTAACAGTCTATATTTTTCACTTACACAGGCAGAAGTGGATTTTGCAATTACCAGTTGCATTAAATGCACCAAATAAAGCTCCTAAAATTGATTCTATAAGGCGCCACCTTAAGTTTTCCAGGCTGCAACTGTGCATAATTTTAAAATGGTTTTCTTAAATTTATTTTTTTAAACATAACACGAGGAAGGTGTTAAAACTGGTGTAACAGCTCAACAGAATAAGTATTCCAGATTTTGGGAGGGATGAAGAGGGAGATATTCAGAACCCTTCACCAGAATCCCCCCAACTTGATCATAGTGGATTAATGATGTGCTTTGTGGATGTGGTTAGTCAATGACACCAGCTTGACGGATCTTTCTTTCGGCACCAAATCCCTGTGAGGAAATAAAATTGCAGTTAATGACCTGAGTGTATGACAATCATTGTACATTCACAATTCCAAAAGGGACTACCAAAGCATTACTCTCAATCACCACCAATTCTTTCGCAGAGGAAATCTATAGTAAGCCTTCCTAAACTATGTTCAAAGTATCAGGAACACCAAGAAATGTTCCTCTTACTGTAAGCAACCATTATGTTAGGGGCTGAACCAATGTGCAGGGATGCTAACTAGTTATGACAGCAATACTGAAGCACCTTGGTAAAGTAAGCTCTTTGAGTTCTGCTAAAATAGGTTCTCAAGTAGTATGCTGGTCTATCAGTTGCCCCCATCCGCCCAAAACCTTGTATGCCCTCATACCATTGAGTTATCTGGTCCCCTTGGCTGACGAAGAACCATTAGGCGAGGAGCACTGGCATCATCCAGGGTGATGTTCTTCAAGCGATTGACCAACCTATCAGGTCGTGGAGCTGCAACAGCCTTGGGGCCCTCGCTGTAACAAAGTCAATAGGTGAGAAGCAGCAACACTTGGTGGGAAGAAAAGTATATGCAGAAGAGTGTGTCTTCTACCTAACTACCCAAATGACTCAGTTTTAATGAGGGGAGACTCTTGCCTCACCTAGCCAACTAACTAACTAGCAAGACAGGGCAGACAAGTTTATGTTTTAATTCTGAACTCAATGTTTATTACTGCTTAGGAGCTGGAAGAATCATTGGGTGAGGGTCATCCCTACACTGGTCTGCAACCAGAAAACCAGTTCCACAGACACATAAAACAATGTAGCAGGTATGGAAAAACATTAGAAAAGGAAAATAAGAAGAAATATTTCCAGAGACTCCCAGCTCCTCTCATGCTATTTTGTTATTAAAACAAAACAAAAACATAGTGCCAGAAATGCTAAACTACAAAATTTAGACAATGAAGAAATAACCAGAAGGTGGCAGAAGAGGATTAAAAAAAAAAGCAGTGATGGAAAAGTGAAAAAATATGATAAAGCAGAGATTACGAAAGAGACAGTCCAGGGAGGTTACTAATCAACAACAACAAAGAACTCACCAGACTCGCCAAACATTACAAGCACTGCACTTGCCAGTGCGCTGATTAAAAATCACTGAGAATTCCACCTCATCTCCTGCCTGTAGCTCAATGCCATCCTGAACTTCTTTCACATGGAAAAAGAGCTTCTTGCTATCTCCTACTTCATAGTTAATGAAGCCAAACTGAAATTTTAAAAAGACAGCATAAAAAAGACATACCACACAGCAGGGAAAAGAAACTCACTTTGATGAAGCACAATTTGCCCCTAGCTAGTAGGGTTTATAAAATGTGGCGTCAGTGCTGATGCTCGCTGCCTGGGCTGTAACAACAGCATATGGGTCTGCAAAACTTGTCAGGGAAGAAATGTTATCTTTGAAACCACTGCCATCCACTCTATCATAGCCTGAGAAACAAAGAAAGGTCACCTTGTGCCTACATATATTGTATGAACTACGCTTTTGAATTAAGCAAAATCATTAGGAAGCTGTTACTTGAACATACGGCACTGTTTTGATACCTTCCAAAATTATTAAGCTGGGTTATGGTATTATTAGAAACAGCCATACAAAATGTTAGTCACTGTACTGATACCAAAAAATGTCCTCTCTGAGGACTCAGAGAGATTTCCTTGAGATTTAAGTACCAGGAATAGTTTTGTTTGCCCGAAGCTTATTTTATGAACACTTCTACACATGGTTTCTTTCTTTGTGTGGTCTGTAAAAGAAGCTCTGAGCTCAAGTATGAAAAACATTATAGTCTTTCTATTCTGGAAATCTCACTCCAAACTTATTTTCCCCATTGTGTTAACTATTAATACTACTCTTACTTTCCTTTTGCTACTATTGCCGTTTTTTCTTTCCATGTGGTTTTTAATAAGCTACTTCAAATCACTGTAAAGGGGGGTAAAGAGGAAATAAAAACCAAATGAATGTTGATGGTTCCCCCTGGGCTGAAAAATGTTCAAGGTTTTGGTTACTATTTGGTTACCAACTCATAAAAGGATCAAATTCAGATCAAGAGATATAACCACTTACCTGATCTTTCACACACTCCACTGTGGCCCTACGCAGGGGTGTGATGTTGTAGGCCATAGTCTGTGCATTTTGGCCCAGGACACACAACTGGAACTTGACACTCTCCCCTTTCTGTAAGCAATCCCCTTTGTTGGCCATCCCAACTATGCCAAATGGATAGACCTCACCTTTCATATCCCCTGTAAGGAGAAACAGGTACAAAGTCTAAAAGCTAATATTTCACGACAGCCCTCTGCTGATGGCCCTAATGAATTTTTAATTTGCTAAAAATATATTCACTAGGAAGATTTTTTTTATACCTAAGAAATTCTACTTTAAAGCTCCAATAAAATCCTGAATGCTAAATACTACCACAAAAACAAATGAGAACTTGTAGCTCATTATCACCTTACTAGCTAATGAAGTTTTAAACCACATTTATGGGGGGGAAAAAAATAACACTAACACTCACAATCTCATTACCTTTGAGCTTTTAAAGCTCTATGGGTTGCTAACATGATCCGCTGGATTATCTTCTTCCCAAGTTCACAATATGAGCCAGTCAAAAACATTTCTGATCCATACCCGACTGGGCATTAAACAAGCCAGGCATAGGCAAAAACGCAAAATAGATAAATCATTTCTTGGCATTCCACCTCCTTTCTTTGTTCTGATTGTGGCTCCCTCAAACCTACAGGTACCTTTCTTCTAGATCAGGGCCCATCACACTTTTTCTTAAAGGGCCAGATAATAAATATTTCAGTCTTGTAGGATCCTGTCTCTGTCATGATGACTCAACTTTGCTGTTGCAGTGAGAAAGCAATCAAAGACAGTATGTAAACAGTCTTGGTTGTGTTTCAACAAAACTTTATTTATAAAAACAAGCTATCATATTTGCTGAGCTCTGCCCCAGAGTAAAAAGTTGGCTGGAGGTCAGTGCAGGCTACGGATAAAAACCAGGCCAAAGAGTCCATCCAGATGCCTATCAGTTCACCTGGATGGTGAATTCACTGAATCAACGAAGGTGAAAAAGAGGGGAAAAACATTAGATGGAAGACGAAGCTTCAAAACTGGGAATGCTTTTAACCATTCTCTTGATGATTATAGGGGTAAGTGAAGATCTTCTTCTCAAACTTACGGGAACCAAAAACTTTGAGGAGAGATTTCCAATAGATCAAGTCATGCAGAAATATTAAAGACAGCTAGACTGACTTAGTGGTACTAGCAGTAACCACTATTTATTAAACACTTATACTGATGCATATTTAATCTTTATAGAACATTCTGAGGTTGAAGATATTATCCTCATTTTAAAAATGAAGAAACTGGGGCTTCCCCGGTGGCGCAGTGGTTAAGAATCCGCCTGCCAATGCAGGGGACACGAGTTCGAGCCCTGGTCCGGGAAGATTCCACATGCCATGGAACAACTAAGCCCACGTGCCACAACTACTGAGCCTGTGCTCTAGAGCCCGTGAGCCGCAACTACTGAAGCCCACGTGCCTAGAGCCTGTGCTCCTCAAAGAGAAGCCACCACTATGAGAAGCTCGTGCAACGAACAAAGAGTAGCCCCCGCTCGCCTCCTCTAGAGAAAGCCTGCGCGCAGCAACGACGACCCAAAGCAGCCAAAAATAAGATAAATTAAACAGCCCCCCCCCAAAAAAAAACGAAGAAACTAAGCTAGTAAAGATTTAATTAATTTGACTTAGGTTGTACAGCTAGAAGTGGAAGAGCTGGTATTCAGATCTAGGTCTGTCCGGCTCTAAAACCCATGGTCTTATATTGGGTTAGCTGTATTCCTAAATAAAAGAGCTGTTCTCACCGCCAAGTGGGGAAAAGTGACCTTTCTAGTCGCAGAAAACTCTAGGCTTAGAGATTTCAGGAAAGTTTCCTTTTCCACAAAACCTTGCTTTTAGACTATAAAATAGCCAGCGTTGAAGAATTAAGTGGATTGGGGGGTGGGAATGCAAAAGTAAATAAAAGGGTGCATGATACAGAGGAGGAAATGGGGCACTTTGATATTATCTCACAAGTTTAAGTTAGTTGCCCATACCCTCGTGGCCCTTTTAAGGATATGGTGTCACCATGGCATTAGTTTAAGACTGACTTGCTATAAAGTCAATTCATATTTGGAGATGTGTGTATTAGGGTACTGGTTCTATTAAAAACAGAAATTTCTAAGAACCTCATGTAGTAACAGAACATGTTCATCAAGGCTCACTTCCTTCTCTCAAATGACCTTCTCTCTTCCCCACTTTATGTTCTCCTATGACTCCTAGATGACACAAGACTTATTCCCTTTGTGAGCCAAGCTATCGTCTTTGGTTAGAATTTCAAATCCTCTCATCAACCCCATCATTATAGTAATTCTGCTGTATTAATCATCCAGTGTTCCCTACTAACATTTCTACTGCAAACTTATTTTATGCATAAAGTTGGTCTTTCTGGCGTTAATTGTTTGGGGTAAGGGATGACACCAGGACTCAGGGAGTTGTCAAAGATGGGGAGAAAAAGGCAGGAAATGAAAATGTAGGGGGGCTTGACCTAGAGAAAAGTAGTAGGATCCCTATGGAACCCTGGCTATTAAGTAACAGATATAGTAAACTTTTACAGGAAGCAAAAATGTTTATAGAATTGAACAGTTACTAGGAAATTTTGTTAATACTGATGTAAATAACCAGTGAATAATAGAGGAAAACTGCAGAGTTGTACTAAACCCAGCCAACTTGAATGTCTGATTATCAAACATTAAATGCATATTTTTAGTGTGAGATTTTGTTCTCAGTCTATTTCAATATAACAACGTTAGTAGCTCACATATCAGTCATATGCTCCACAGCAGTCATTTGTTCACAACATAAACCCAGGCTGATCTCATTTCCAAGGGATATAAAGAATAAAAACCAAGTATTGTGGGAATAAAAATCACTTTTCCTTGATTCAGTTTTTAAGGAATTTGAAAACAACTGCCACCCTACCATATTTTAAAATCTTCGACGCACTCATCTGAAGGTAAGGCAAATTTCAAAACAATCTGATAGCAATGCTCTTACCTTCGTCCATGATCTCAATCATTCCTTGGTACTCAGTCTGTGTTGGATCGACACTCCTCAAGGGGCGAATGACTTTACCAGAGTAGATGGTGGGATCAGCTTCCTCAGTAATGCCATTCACTACAAAACAAAAGCATGTATACCTCTCCCTCAACAATTTTATTTAAACTCTACTGCATAGGACCAAAAAAAAAAGCGAACATTAACAGAACAAACGTTAACAGAGGGTTGGCTGGTTGCCTGCTAGTCCAGAAATGCAATACTTCTAAACTACTATTAAAATAAAGATGTTTAAAGACTTAATAAGTATACATATTTAAACATGTTTTGCTCTCTCACCTTTACCACGTGACCAAATATCACCTTTTTAGTGAGGCCTTCCTTGGTCTCTACAAGTATTGCTAACCCCAATACTTATATACTTCCCCAATTTATTTTATCTTAATACCTTTCTGAACATACTATATCCGATATTTCACTCATCTTTTTTGTCTATCTGTCTTATTTCTTCACTGCTGTACCCCCAGTTTCTAAAACATTTATTAAACTGAATGAACGTTCTTAGCTCCTATTTCTCTAGAATAACACCAAGAAAAAGTATTATTTGGTGAGTTTACACGAAAGCCAAAAAAGTAAGTTGTAGGCCTTTTAAAAGTCAAAGATCCTAAATAGCAACGATTTCCTTAAGTTGCCATTATTCTTCACATTTAAACTCATTCTTCTCCAAAACTGTCTTGTAGAGGAATGCCTCCCCCCACAATCCCATGGAGATTTATTATCTTGGGGTTATTTTTAAAAAGAGATATTGAACTGATAATACACTCAAAGCAAATGACCTAGAAAATCTAGAACAATGGTTCTCAAACTTCAGTGTTCATCAGAACCACCTGAAGGATTTGTTAAAACAGACTGCCCATCTCCAAAGTTTTGGTAGGTCTGGGGTGGGGTCAGACAACTTGTATTTCTAACAAGTAGCCAGGTGATGCTGCTAGATCTGGGGATCATACCTGGAGAAACACTGATATAGAACAGTAGGCTTTTCTCTCCCTCTCCTACCCAACCCCTCACCCTCCTACCCAAAACATAGGCCCAATAATCAGAAGTCACAATTCATTACCTGAGTGCGTTTTGTTCACTTTTTCTGCACTGACTTTGTTGCCTTTTCCTTTGGACAAGCTGTACTCGACCATGTCCCCCAGTTCCAGGCTATCAACATCACCAGAGAACTCACTGCAGGGGAGGGAAAGGAAATGACATTTGAAAAAGCATTTACCACAAACATCAACAGTAGCAAGTAGCCTTTATTTCTTCTATTATAATATTCATGGTGTGCTTACTTAAGCTGGATACTGTTTTAAGCACTGACTCATGTAATCTTCAGAAACATCCTATGAAGAGGTACCATTATCCTCAGCTTCAAGATAATGAAACTAAGATGACAGAAGGTTATTTTCATTCGATAAAACTTACACAAGTACTAAGTAGCAGAGCCTGGATTCAAACTGGAACTGTACGGTTCTAAGAGCCCATGCTCTTAACCACTATACTATATTATAACACCAAATGAAATATACAACTCTCTGGCAGCAACACATAAAACTGTATTTTTTTACTGAAGCAGAAAGGCTCCTATCCAATGTTCAAAGCAGGTACAGGTCTTTCTGTATCTTTTGACCACATGTTTTCTATACAGAGGTAGACAGTTAACTTTATATATTGCCAAAATTTCACCAATATGAAATCTGAGATTAAAAAATACATAACTACCCAATACTAATGTTTTTGACTCCAAAACCAAAGAATGGACTGTAAGCTCTAAGTTCCTAAAAGGCATTCCTCACCTGTAATGGAAAAAGATTTCCTTATCATGATTGGCTGTTTCAATAAATCCAAAATTATCCTTCAAAGTTGCCACATAACCCAAGAGCCTCTTGGAGTTGGAATTACGACCTAAGAGTCGCACACAAGTTGCAATCTGCTGTCCAGGCCTCTGTTTGTCACTAATACTAAATTCAACCTGTGAAAAATAACGATGCTCATTAATATCATGTCATTTCACGCCAAGTGGAAATGACAACTCCCCCAGACCTTGCTTTCCACTCTAAATATCCTTTTTATAAATACTCTGATGGAACAGATATTCATCAGAACTATCACTTCTACTTCTCATTCCACTTTTCACAAGGATCAAGTTTTGCTCTCCAGTGTGTATTCCTTATAGATTCTTAATTTCTCTAAAGGACGTCAACTGGAAAACCAGACATACTAAGTATGACAAAAATGAACAGCAATACAAAAACCTTTGGCGTGGTTTTATTTTGATAATGCTTCAGTGACTGTTTTTTTTTTTTTTTTTTGTGGT